GCGCCCTGTTCTGTGGACATGGATTTCAAACAATCATCTACGTAAAAGTTGTTTTTTACGGTGTCTATAACCTCTGCTGGAAAGTGAGTTTGGTTATCTTCAGCGGTCTTTCTTAGTGCAAAATTTGCACAACTCAGCAATGACACTGCTCCAAAGAGGTGTACTTTCATCCGATATTCGACGAGATCCTGCTGCACGTCACCATCAGGCCACCATAGGAATCGCAAGTAGTCAATATGGTTGTCTGACCTGGTGAAACATTGCTTTGATGTCAGCCATCGGGGCAACAGGCTCTTGTCTGAATCTGAGGAGTACTCCTATAAGTGAGTTAGTAAGATCTGGACCCTGTAGCAATTGTTCATTAATGTTCCCGCTCTCAAGGTTCCTTTCCTCGGGTGATACACCCCGTGATGTGGGATGTACCAGAGTTTCCCATCAGTATGATTCAGCTGATCCTCTGGTATCATAGCCGTTGTTAACCATTTCTTTGAGAAAAGTTGTATATTCTTCGCGAAACCTCTCATTTTTAACAAACTTGCGTTTCAGGCTTTGGATGCGTTGCTCTGCTATGCAACGGTTGCTTGGCATGCGGGGATTTTCTTGCTTGAAAGGTAAGTCTATGCAATAGTGACCATCTGTAATTTTTGATGAGTGATTCACGATATCCAGGAATTTTATCTCTTCTCTGGACATTTTCTCTGTTTCCTTGCAGGTTTCTTCATTGTAGTCGTGATTGTATTGTTTAACCAGTAGCTCCTCTAAGTTTACGATGGACAGTCGGTTGACCGCAGCAGCAGGGCAGCCATTCTCATCCCTGCTGTTGTCTCCTCTCAGAGGACCATATATGACCCACCCCAACAGGGTCCTCACAGCGTATGGTCCATTGGCTTGGCTGTTGACCACCTCCCAAGGTTCCAATGCCTTAGACGCATTTGTGCCTATGAGAAGGTCAATGCCAGAATCTATATAATGAATCTTGACGTCCTTCAAGTAAGGCCATTGAATCAGGTCTTCTTGTCTGGGAATGTTGAGCTTGGAAACGGGCATGATCTTGTGTGTAAATACATTGGGCAGTTGTATGAAATCAGTTTTGTCCAGACTTGATATCTCTAAACCTGGGATATGATGACTAGTCACAGGTTTCACTTAGTTCATTGTACGCAAAAGAATACTAGTCTTTTGTCCTGTTACATTCAGTCTTCTCGTCAGGCTTTCTGTGCAGAAGGTGGCTGAGCTTCCATGGTCTAAAAAACGCATACGTCTGCAACACAGTGTCTCCCTTGGGGGTCTTTACTTGTACTGGAACAATAGATAAGAGACAGGCTTTTTCACCGGCCCCAATATGCCCACACGTATGAGGTGAGAGAACGGCATTGCTCCCAATTGATTTTCCATCCAATTCTGTTTTCCTTCCTATGTCTCTTTATTCAATATGAAGTATTTCAGGATGATTTTTGTTGCAGATGTCACAAGTCAAACAACTATCGCAGTCTTTGCTCATGTGTCCTACCTTCAAACAGCCAAAACAGACTCCCCTTTTCTTTAAGAAGTCGATTTTTTCCCTGTGCATCTTTTTCCTGGTCTGTGGACACCGCACCAATGTGTGACCATCTCTCTCACAGAACAAACAGGAATTTTGAGGGTTAGTGACGGATACATTTTTCATTCCACTTGTCATTTTTTCTTGTATTGGCATTTCCACAGGTGTTGCAGTAGTTGCAAAACTGCTTCCTCATGGTCTCGGCCTCTCTCTTGCTGTGACATCCTGGATGTTCCCAAAAAGTGGATCCGACAATATCTTCACTTGTCTCTCCATGAAGTCTACCAAGTCAGAGAAACTAGCTTGACGTCCATGTTGTTCCTGGAGCTGACATGCCCTATTCCTCCACTTGTCTCTGAGCTTGTAAGGCAGTTTCAGAAGAATGGTCTTCATACTGGAAGCGACGTTCAACTCCTCCATATAGGTGAGTTGTTCCATTGCATTGCAACAACCTCTCAGGAATAATGTAAACGCTCGCAATGCTTTCAAGTCCTCTGGCTTGATCGCTGGCCAGGCAAATGCTTTGTCCATGTATGCTGTAGCAAACTTATGTTCTCTACCAAAATGTTCTTTAAGCAGCTCTTTTGCTCTTTTATAGCCCTCAGCCGAAGACAAATGTTGACGGCTGTGGACTAAATCCTTTGGATACCCTCTGGTATATTGCTCTAGGAAATGCAGGCAGTCGCTGTAGTCATCAGTCTTTCTTTCCACTCCTCTCTCGAATGCCCTGATGAAAACTCCATATTGCAAGGGATCCCCATCATAAACGGGAATGTCTCTTGGTGGTAAGGTAGAAGAGAGATTGTGTTGAGCTAGAAGAGTGGTTATGTCACTTTGCTTCTGAATGATGTGATAGATATCACCTTGATTATGATCATTATATCCAGGTTGTGTTAGAGGAGTCATATCCTGAGCTCTAACAGATGGTCCATCAGCGCTTTCCTTTGGCTGAACAACCTGTTGCTGGGAAGAAGATTCTGTTCCCGTCCGCACATTCAGTCTTTGTTGCACTTGATCGGGTAAATAGATGTTTGCATGTGGATTCTCTTTGACTGACCTTTTCCTTTGAACAGTTCATTTTTCAAAATAAAAATTCTCTTACAAATAAGATTATCTTTACAGATGGCAACGAGACGTTGGGACCGTTGTAATCTGTGATTTAATGACGTTACACAGTGAACAGTAGTTAATGATGTTACACGGTGAATAGTAGTTAATGATGTTACACAGCGAATAGTAGTTAATGATGTTACACAGTGAATAGTAGTTAATGACGTTACACAGTGAATAGTAGTTAATGATGTTACACAGTGAATAGTAGTTAATGACGTTACACAGCGAATAGTAGTTAATGATGTTACACAGTGAATAGTAGTTAATGATGTTACACAGTGAATAGTAGTTAATGATGTTACACAGTGAATAGTAGTTAATGACGTTACACAGCGAATAGTAGTTAATGATGTTACACAGTGAATAGTAGTTAATGACGTTACACGGTGAATAGTAGTTAATGACGTTACACAGCGAATAGTAGTTAATGATGTTACACAGTGAATAGTAGTTAATGACGTTACACAGCGAATAGTAGTTAATGACGTTACACAGTGAATAGTAGTTAATGACGTTACACAGCGAATAGTAGTTAATGATGTTACACAGTGAATAGTAGTTAATGATGTTACACAGTGAATAGTAGTTAATGACGTTACACAGTGAATAGTAGTTAATGATGTTACACAGTGAATAGTAGTTAATGACGTTACACAGTGAATAGTAGTTAATGACGTTACACGGTGAATAGTAGTTAATGACGTTACACAGTGAATAGTAGTTAATGATGTTACACAGCGAATAGTAGTTAATGATGTTACACGGTGAATAGTAGTTAATGATGTTACACGGTGAATAGTAGTTAATGACGTTACACAGTGAATAGTAGTTAATGATGTTACACAGCGAATAGTAGTTAATGATGTTACACAGTGAATAGTAGTTAATGACGTTACACAGTGAATAGTAGTTAATGACGTTACACAGTGAATAGTAGTTAATGATGTTACACAGCGAATAGTAGTTAATGATGTTACACGGTGAATAGTAGTTAATGATGTTACACGGTGAATAGTAGTTAATGACGTTACACAGTGAATAGTAGTTAATGATGTTACACAGCGAATAGTAGTTAATGATGTTACACAGTGAATAGTAGTTAATGACGTTACACAGTGAATAGTAGTTAATGACGTTACACAGTGAATAGTAGTTAATGATGTTACACAGCGAATAGTAGTTAATGATGTTACACGGTGAATAGTAGTTAATGATGTTACACGGTGAATAGTAGTTAATGACGTTACACAGTGAATAGTAGTTAATGATGTTACACAGCGAATAGTAGTTAATGATGTTACACAGTGAATAGTAGTTAATGACGTTACACAGTGAATAGTAGTTAATGACGTTACACAGCGAATAGTAGTTAATGACGTTACACGGTGAATAGTAGTTAATGATGTTACACAGCGAATAGTAGTTAATGATGTTACACGGTGAATAGTAGTTAATGACGTTACACAGTGAATAGTAGTTAATGACGTTACACAGTGAATAGTAGTTAATGATGTTACACAGTGAATAGTTACTACGTGTCCGCAGGGCAACAGCCAATCAGCTCTGCTTGGCGTCAGCTTTGTTCCATCTGCTGTAAATAGTCTATTTAACGTAAATTCATATAAGCTCAAGTCAGTGACTGGCAGTAGAGAGGAATTTAATCTCAAACTATATGGTTTATATTATCAGGAATCAGGAACATTTATTACCAAATTATATCAGACATGAGGAATTTGAATCAGAGAATGAATGAATGAATTTTATTTATTCACACAATACCACTTGAAACATAACACAGCTGGGGAGGCACAAGATTAATTGGGTAAGGTGAATGGGTCCCCCAAAGAAGCTAAAGAAAGCTTATAGGTGGGGGCCCATGATTAAATTTATAGTGGTAGCACAAAACTGTAAAGTACACAATTACCACAAATTATAATGACTAGTTGCTCACGAGAGACACACTAGTACAAAACATTACATACACATACAATCATACATCCCAGTAGTCCATGAAAAAACAGTTTTATATTAGATGTAGGTTGATAAGAAATATTTTATAAGAATGATTACAAGACAACGTGGTGCAAGAGGAATTTAAATTAAAAATAAAGTTTAAAAAAGTCAGAAATAAGGTGCACCAGCGAACAATGCACGTGTCCGTGGAGCGAGCCGGGCGGCTCCAGGCACGAGCACCGAGGGCGGGCAGCTTTTGGCGGACAGTTTGAAATAATTTTCCACCAATGAGCATCGCAGACTCTCTTGTGGAGGCGCGGCTGAGCTCCAGGAGGGAGTCCTCCACCAATCAGGAGCCAAGGTCTGAAGCTGCGTCACCGCTCCACAGCCGGTCCACACTTTAAGAGCCGCGTGTCTCCGCTCAGGGTTCACTTCACCAGAGCGAGACTAGTCGATCATGGCACGAACCAAGCAGACCGCCCGTAAGTCCACCGGAGGCAAAGCCCCCAGGAAGCAGCTGGCCACCAAGGCCGCCCGCAAGAGCGCCCCGGCCACCGGCGGCGTGAAGAAGCCTCACCGGTACAGGCCCGGTACCGTGGCCCTGAGGGAGATCCGCCGCTACCAGAAGTCCACGGAGCTGCTGATCCGCAAGCTGCCCTTCCAGCGTCTGGTGAGAGAGATCGCTCAGGACTTCAAGACCGACCTGCGCTTCCAGAGCTCCGCCGTTATGGCTCTGCAGGAGTCCAGCGAGGCTTACCTGGTGGGCCTGTTCGAGGACACCAACCTGTGCGCCATCCACGCCAAGAGGGTCACCATCATGCCCAAAGACATCCAGCTGGCCCGCCGCATCCGCGGGGAGCGAGCTTGAGAAGTCTGCTCCTATTGACCCCACAACGGCTCTTTTAAGAGCCACCTCACTCTCTGTAAAGAGCTCCTTCCTTAACGTGACCATCAATTCATGATTCATACGTATGAGAATAGTCATGGATCTTGGCATCAGTCTGCATTAATTAATTTGTATTCTATAAACATCTCACTGCCTAGAACTAGAACAGAAAACTTCCTAATGTTGCAACTCACGAGTTACAAACCATGGATGCCAGGCCAGTGCGTGATCAAACACATCGTACAATAAGTTATATGTATTCTGGCGAAGAAGACCTTTGTCTGGACTGGTATATAACCATAATAAATAACATCAGATGTACATTAACGTTACTAGTGAACCACGTCGCCAAAACATCAGATGGGATAAATAGACATAATTCAAAAATTAATATCTGCTGATGGATTTAGAGTTGGATCAAGATCATCGTCGATATTTTATTCACAAGTACTTTTGAGTAGAAAACATTCACAATGTAACGTGTTTAAAACATGGAAGAAGTTGCTCAGATTCTGATCTTTCCAGCATTTATTTGGTCCCGCAGAAGACAATAAAACACACATTCGTTCAGCAGGAGGCGCTGCAGCGCCGCGTCAGAGCCCCGCCTCCGTCTTCCATCACGTCCTCAGACTGGCTTTAAAGGTCTGTGAACTGACTGGAGTTCATCATCTTTGTACCAAACCGACCAGTGAACATGAGCGGAAGAGGAAAGGGAGGAAAGGGACTCGGCAAAGGAGGCGCCAAGCGTCACCGTAAAGTCCTCCGTGACAACATCCAGGGCATCACCAAGCCCGCTATCCGCCGTCTGGCTCGCCGCGGCGGAGTGAAGCGCATCTCCGGCCTGATCTACGAGGAGACCCGCGGTGTGCTGAAGGTCTTCCTGGAGAACGTGATCCGCGACGCCGTCACCTACACCGAGCACGCCAAGAGGAAGACGGTGACCGCCATGGATGTGGTCTACGCCCTGAAGAGACAGGGACGCACCCTGTACGGCTTCGGGGGATAAAGGCCGACTTTTACTACCAAAACCACAACGGTCCTTTTAAGGGCCACTCACGTTCTCTATAAACAGCTGATTTTCCTTTTAACGTGCGTTTAAACACTTTTAAAATTATGTTCTTTTATTTTTTTTTAGTGTGGCACTGACATTCGACGGCCTAAACTTCATCTTCATCTCAAATCATTCCCCATAAATGAAGTCCGCCTCGTGGTCACAGGATATTAAATCATTAACTGATAACCTAGCGGTGCAATAAAATAGAATTATGTGGGATTTTAAATATTCTGTTATCTAAAGCTGTTTTAGTAAATTATCTGATCTCAGATCACATGTTGATTTGACGTATAACTATGGAGAGCATAAAAGGACAAGTATAAATTAATGTATTAATGGATGCTTATATACATGTATAAGTAAATGCTTAAATAAAATAATAGATTTATATTTTTATATATATATATAAAATATAATCTCCATATTTCCGTCTCATCACATCCACAATGGGTCCATGTGGAGGACTAATTTCTTATTTCTTTTACTCTGTACACCACCTGTCTTTCAGGCGTGTTAAAGTTTACTTTTCAGTCCTTAAAATATAGTCGTCACTTGTCTTGATTTTCTTTTACCCTGAAAAAATACCAGTTAAAACCCAACAGAAAATATTGGTTGATAAATATAAGTCAAGGGGGTGAATATCTGAATATTATAATATTATTATTATCCCAAACAATATTGTTCCTGTCTTCCTGTCAGGCCAAAGGTTCCAATCATGCAATTTAAGAGTGTCAGTCTGAACACAATCGTTAATTTGTAAAACGTTGGATGCTGATGAATCAGAGATACGCCACAAACTCAATTCTCATTCTAATTTCATATTATTGCTTCTGAAGTGTTTTAGTGTTTTACTGCATTGAAGGTTCCACACTCATACAAGGGTTGGAACTAAGTATTTTTTAATTTTTCTCAGGAATACTTAACTATTTAACAGTAATATTAGTATTGATATGTTCACCTCAATATAACTTTGCATCTGTGGTGACTTCATTCATCAGCTCTACACTAATAATGTCAATGAGTGTTTCTTAATCAAAGCTTCCCAAAATAAGCAGCATTGAGTTTGAGCGTGTTTGATGATTATAACTTGATGCATATTAAACATCAATAACATGATTTCTCAGGACATAAAAACAACTGAGAGAGAAATGTCACCTTCTCGTGTGTCGAGCAGACAGCTTGTTATTTGGGCTGAAGTAGAAGCATCGTGAGTTAATAAGTTATTCATTCATCTAATCGCGTGTCATGTGCTTCGCTGTTCACAGTTGATCTACATACAAAATAATCACAATATAATAATGACAGCACTAAAAATTCAAACTTTTAGTGCTGAATTCCTTCATCAGCTGAATACTATTTCACACCATCAGTGGTACAATAACTGTGTTATTACAACATTCGAGTTTCCAAAAAAAGGCCACATTGGTTTTTCGTTATTTGATGATTCAAATGTAAATTTATTTATAATATAACTTATCAGAAGACTTGAATGTTGGCATAGAAATACTTCATTTGTGGCTTAATAATAGTGATAATAATGATTACATGTGGTATGTTCATCTAAAAGTAACTGCATCTGTGCTCATAGAATTCATCAGAATAGAAATAATGTGTTACAATAATAGTCCTATAGGAATATAAAAGCTTCCCAAAAAACCAACATTAGTGTGTGAGTATATTTGATGATTAACGTGTTGAATAAAACTATTAGCAGAAGACACAGTGAGCAGCTCTGATTCAACTGTGACCACCGTCAGTGTGTTTGCTGCTTCCACAAAAACTGCACTTTATCAAATACTGATCAACATCTCATGGTGGTTTTACGTCGACACCCTGAACCAACACGTGGACAGTTTGGAAACAGACTTTTGATGGAGACTTGATGTATTTTAAATACTTTTAGGAGAGAAATGAGTGGGAAAAGCCGCTGATCAGCGCTGTCCTCGGCGCTGAGTAGGTGACGTTTGAAGGCTCCTCAAACCAAACGCATCGATCATCAGAGCTCCACGTGACCTGAACACGCAGAGAAACTAGTCCGCTATCGGCTCCTCCGCCTTCAGCCTCCAGCACCTGAAGCACATTTAGCTTTTAGTCTTTAATCAGTGGAGAGAAAACACACGTGACTCGACTTTCACGCTGCACGAGGAGCTCCGGGCCGGGTTGAGTCTCCACGGTTCTCATGGTGCGTTTAAGTGCAGTCCGCTGCTTCGAGCTCTTCATCGGTCTCAGTCTCTCGAGTCCTCGACGACGCAAACGCACAACAGCGGGACGAAAATGGCAGAAGAAGCTCCAGCTGCGGCCGCCGCCGCCGCGCCCAAAGCGGCCAAGAAGAAGGCGTCCAGGCCGAAGAAGGTCGGTCCCAGCGTCTCCGACCTCATCGTGAAAACCGTGGGCGCGTCCAAGGAGCGGAGCGGCGTGTCCGCTGCCGCCGTCAAGAAGGCTCTGACCGCCGGAGGATACGATGTGGACAAGAACAAGGCCCGCGTCAAGACCGCCATCAAGAGCCTGGTGGCCAAGGGGACTCTGGTCCAGGTCAAGGGGATCGGGGCCTCCGGCTCCTTCAAGGTGAGCAAGACCACCGCCGACAAACCGGCAAAGAAAGCCGCTCCTAAAGCCAAGAAGCCCGCGGCGAAGAAGCCCGCAGCGGCCAAAAAGCCCAAAGCAGCGGCAGTGAAGAAAGTTGTAGCCGCTAAGAAGTCACCGAAGAAGGCCAAGAAACCCGCAGCGGCCAAGAAGGTGACCAAGAGCCCCAAGAAGGTAGCAAAGAGCCCCAAGAAGGTGGCCAAGAGCCCCAAGAAGGTGGTGAAAAAGGCCCCCGCAGCCAAGAAAACCCCCGTGAAGAAGGTCGATAAGCCCAAAGCCAAGAAAGCAGCACCCGAGAAGAAGTAAACTGACCTCAGTCTGAACAACCAACGCTTCTATAAAAGGCTCTTTTAAGAGCCACCCAATCCTTCCTTAAAGAGTTTCCTTTATTAATACAGTATAATAAATACTCATGTATGAGCAAAGATGAATCATGTACACACAAGTTGCTGCTCTGAGGGCTGTTCTGAGAACATCACCGTCAAATTTAGTCACAATTCAGTCGCACTCTCCCATTTTCAACAGATGTTAAGGGCTAAACAATAGTGCTTTGATCGTGTTTGACAGGATAACAAACATGTGGGGAAACATGGAAGTGATCTTTAGAAGAGGTGGGTGGCTCTTAGAAGAGCCTTTGGGTTGGTGGTCTACATCAGGCTCACTTGGAGCTGGTGTACTTGGTCACGGCCTTGGTCCCCTCAGACACGGCGTGCTTGGCCAGCTCGCCGGGCAGCAGCAGGCGCACAGCGGTCTGGATCTCCCTGGAGGTGATGGTGGAGCGCTTGTTGTAGTGAGCCAGGCGAGAGGCCTCGCCGGCGATGCGCTCAAAGATGTCGCTCACGAACGAGTTCATGATGCCCATGGCCTTGGAGGAGATGCCGGTGTCGGGGTGGACCTGCTTCATCACCTTGTACACGTAGATGGCGTAGCTCTCCTTCCTGGTCTTCCTCTTCTTCTTGCCGCTCTTGCTGACGGCCTTGGACACGGCTTTCTTGGAGCCCTTCTTGGGCGCTTTCACAACCTCAGGCATGATTCAAGTCTCTGTGGCAGACTGACAATGTCGCGATGTGAACAGGACGGTGTTCATATATGAACCAGATGCAAATGTCACTGTGCGGTCGCTCGAGCGTGATTGGTTGTCTTCTGTGTGATACTGCGCATGCGTCTCACAGGCGGGTTTCTCTATTGAGACCGAATCACTTTGGTGCTTTTAACACGAGTTTGTCTCGTGAGTTTCACATTGAGAATCATGTTGTAAGAATCATTGTGTGCACTGAAATCATCTAATGACCGTCACACAAACCATTCACAATCACAGGGCCCTGTTGATAGTTACAGTTACACACTTCCATTCTTGATGTGTCAAGACATGACACACACCTTTTTTTCATCCAGAATAGACAAATACATGTATAATAGTCATAAATAAATATTATAGGGCACCTTGACAAGACTTGTAGGCATTCAGCACACTGAGCCACGGAAGTGAAACATGTACAGTTTGTGTTCTTATGGCTAGACTCACTTTGTGATGTGACTTTAGAAGTTGGATGAGCGCAATTATTCTGATGACTGAAGTCTAGTAGTTTAAATTAGCGTTTGAGCGCAGATTAGTTTGTGAGGAATCAAGTAGCCCGACATCAACCATCGGGTTAGTTTGGCTGGAGTCGAATTTGATGAAATAAAACCTGCCTGTTATCAAGTACGTGATACCTTCGTTTACAAGTCATTAAAAAGCTGTTTTTTAATGTTTCCATGCCTGTACGTGGATAATCATGCATATTATTAAAAATATGATTACAATGCTGGATTCACATCTCCACCGTGCTCCGGTTCAACAAGTTTTAAAACATAATGGGCTTTATTCCAGCCACGTTAGCCATGCAATTACTTAATTAAACATGTAACATGTCCTCAGAATGGAACCTTGTAAACCCTGAAATACGTAAAGTACAGTTGGACAGAACTTAATGTATTGTCATAATTCATATTAATAACACTAATGTTACATTGTATGGTTTGTGGAGTTGACATCACTCAGAAGTTTGATGGTGAAATACGTTTTTGTGTTTCTTTCTTCATCTCTACGGATCGGTTGGAGTCGATGGTGGAGAAGGTGAGCCTGAACCTGCAAGGTTGGCGGTTCGAGCCCCGGCGGTGTCCCTGAGCAAGACACATGACCCCTAATTGCTCCCCGGAAAAAAGATGTAAGAAGCCACGTGTTAAAAATGCAGCGTGAGTGCTTTGGATAAAAAAGCGTCCGCTAAATGACCTGTAATGTGACAAGAAATATCATATGCGTTTTATTCTGAAATCCCAAACGCATGAATGACGGCAAGAAAGAATTCAAGTAGCGCAATGTGATTCGTTTATTTATTTCCCATTCTCATAAATCGATAGACGATAATAATAATAAGCATAATAAGATAACACTGTTGTTTACTGAACAGAGGTCCTCCGTAAAAAGTGACTTATTTACACAGCAACAGAAGCATCTGTACGATTTGTAAACCGCCCAAATGCCGGTACGTCCAGCATCAGAGTGTGACGGAGCAACATTTAGGGCGGCGGGAGTCCGGACAACAGGAACGTGGACCCGGGGAGACGGAGACGCACGAAAGAGGAACCGGCGTTAGGGATTGGCCAGTTCATCTGATGTCACAGAGGACGGCAGGATGTCCAAGGCTCCCATCTCTGCAACACACACACGTTGTAGTGTTAATAAAGACAATGCACATCATTACCCCGCTTAAAATGTGCGTATGTATTAGTGCAGCTTCCTGCAAACCACCTGATACGTTGAACGTTGACGTTTCTGGACCAGAAACCGGTTCGATGAACAATGTGAAGTGATTATGAATCAACCCGGTAACCTTTGAAGCTGGCGTACCCTTTGGGGGGTCGCGTCCCACGTTAACGCGGCATCGTAACATTCTAACAGCAGTGTTCTCCCTACCGTTATAGTGGGGTTCGCCGCTAATTAGCATTAGCATTAGTTTTCCGTTAGCTCCCGCGCATGCGTCACGTCACAATCCACTACGATCTACTGCCGATCGACCTGTTGGGGAACTCTGATCTATCGTTTTGATGACGGCCGCTCAATGCGTCGTCGATCTCAAGGCGACCTTCGACGTGTCTTTGGTTTGAAGAAACATCGATGCCGAAACATTTGCTGCGTATTTGGCAATGCGGTTGTGGGTCTTCTGCAGAGAATCACTCCTCGCTTCGAGATGAGTCCACGTAGAGACGATGAACGTACCTTTAAGCTTCAGGTACGACAGAAAGTCAATGATGGTGTGGATCACGTCTCCATCTGCTATTCTCTGGGAACCTGCGGACGTAAAGCAGCAGACAGAATGCAGCCAACTGGAAGTTCTCACGTGAGAATATCAGTGTCTCCGGACACTAAGACATCCTGACACCGAGAAGAGTCCTAAAGATTCCTTCAGAAAAATGTCAACATGATAGAAAACTCTGATTCAAACAACTGCTCTGTTTGCATATACGAAATATTCTGTTTCTGAAACAGACAAACTCCTGATAAGCGAGTATTTTAAATAGTACAATGGTGGCAGAGTTGTGTGCATTTGACTCCCATGGGAGTGAGAGTTTGAACAGATGTCTTGATATCGTTTAAATCAGGCCTCCATTTACTTCAATCGTCAAAAAATACCACACAGAAAACTGAGTGAGATAGAGAGACAGACCTGTTCTGAAGTCCTCCTCCTGGCCCATGTCCCTCTTGCCAGCTAGACCCGACTTGTCTCCTAGTGTCCTGTGTCCATCTATTCCATCTGGACAATGAGGAGTGACATCACGATTGATGCAGCCAAACAAATAAGTGAGTTCACTTATTACAGCATTTCAGCCGAGGCTGTTGTTCAAACTACAACTGCTCTTCAGAGAATATCTAAAGGACAATGTTGTCCACTTGCTTATTACATCACTCTATTTGCTTTGCAAATGTTTGGTTGAGTTTCTTGTACGGACCACCTGCAGGGCTTGGCTCGTGGAATTGCGGCAAAGAAATGGAACACGTCTTTGGCAGCGGTGTCACATGCACACAAAGAAAGCGTTAGAACAATGCTGGTGAAATGGTTTGGGGTTAGCTTAGCCGCGGTGATGCTTAGCCGCGGCGATGCTTTGCTAGCGGTCGCCGTGTTCCTGCTGAGCCTGCAGGTCACAGCGAGGTGTCCTCTGAAACAAGCCTCGTCCCAACACTCGCACATTGTGCAAACGCCACACGGAGACCTCTGTCGATGGCGACATAAGAGTCCCATCAGGCGGCGGCGTGTCCCCCCCCAACCTCCTGATGTGTGGCGCCCCAATGAAGAGGTCCACACTGACTGCTGACCCAGAGGTCTGCTTAGAACCCTTAGAAGACTCCTCTTATCGTTTGGTTGAATAGTGAGTGTCCCACTGAAAGGTTCGACGGGACGGATGCTAATTGGCTGGAGGTAATTTGGGTTACTCGTTAGCTTGAGTAGAGCTCGAGCTGCTTAGCTGTGTGTGTTTAACTACAAGTACAATTCAAATCCGTGACCTCGGAGTGACCAGGAAGGGCCGAAATGAACAAACCGATCCTGCTGACTGGGGTCTTTTTCAGACAGTGGTGCTTGGTGGTCCAGCAGCCTTTCTGTGGGGTTTGTATGTTCTCCCCGTGTCTGACTGATATTGTGTCTATTTACAGAAAAGCAAAGGTTTTTAAAAACACTCCATGTCAAAAAAGCCCACTTTTTTGCCAGACTTTTTTGTTTCATTTTAGTGGAATGAGTCAATTTCACATCCCTCTGGTAAACAGTTTCTCAGCATCACATCCAGGGGCTTTTATTGTGAAAGGTAAAAGAGGAAGGGGAGGGATCTGGTCTGATAACAGGTGATGTAATGTTCTTGTTCTCTTTTTTTTCAGTTAAACTGTGTCATGGGAAGAGAATTGCGTTGTAATTTCTGGTTCGGTGTAAAATGACTTAAAAAGCTCTTAAAGTAGATTGAGGTGCAAACAGATCGTACAGAAAAGGGCTTTAGACTGCCGAACGGCATGCTGGGAAAAAGTTACCTCTCCTTTGCAAATGTGAGCTTTTATACCAAAAACTGTTGAATCCAGGAATTAGCCGGTCTCAACTTAAAGGTTCATAACGTCCGCTGCAGAGACACGACCAGCTCCATTTAAAAGGGAAAAAATATATATTTCACACAACTAAAATAAAAGAGATAAAAGCATGATATTAAGATTTACGTTACTCAAGTTTTAGCTGAAATGATATATTATAACACAGCTTTGCTGTTTCATTTCAATGCCAGTAGTTTATGCTAAGCTACGCCTTCCTGCATCAACAGCATATGTGTCTGACGTTACTTATCTAATCTCAGTAAATGGTCAATTTAAAGATTAAATAAAAAAATGTAATTTAATTTAAATTTTAATTTAATTTAATTTAATTTAATTTAATTTAATTTAATTTAATTTAAAGATTTATCAGTGTCGATGTCGCGTCCTACCGTGTGCGACATTAAACACGCAACCTCACGCCAATAAACCACGTTTGCCGCTGTGGAAAATGGCTGCAAAGTGAGCGGAACCATAAAAAACTAAAGCCACTGATTAACCTGCGTCAGCTGGTCTGTGTTTAAGTAGCTTCCCACTACAACTAATACATTTTTTTTTAGCCACGTTTGGACGCGTAAGCAGCGACAGCAGCAGGCGGACAGACGTCCTCCCAGATGAGTGACAGCTCAGGAGGCGGGATGTGTGTGACAGAGCAATTCCTCCCCCCCGACACCAAGGCCCTGCAGCGGCCGTACGTTTCTATCTTACATGGGGTCACCAGGTCGTCTCTGCCTCGCACACTGGGAGAATCCTTTATCTGAATTAGGTGATCAATACGACCTGCAACACAGGAGCAACCTTCACCTGAGCTTGTTGTGACCGTAAAATATCAACTAACACAATTTTAAACGTGTGGACAGTGTGATTAATGGATGTGAGTAGAAGTGTCTGCTGTCCACATAACTTGCCTCTAAATATTGACGAATCCCCGTTGAAGCCTTTTCACCACAGGGCCTAAACAAGATGCTAAGCTACCAGACGCTATTTCCACTGACGACCGCCGGGATTTTTAATCGCGCGGCTCGTTTTGTCTTTGAAAAAAAAACAACCGGCCTCGACGGGACAGAACACGCGTGGCGTGAGCGCACGGAGGCGGGATGGAGTCTGACGGCAGCAAACGCATGAAGTGAGCGTGAAGGAGCAGAACGGCTGAGATGTTCACGCGTGTCAGTTCAGGACGTCGTGTCGATGCATCATGGCGGGAAACGCACAGACCGACCACAGCGCCTCTTTTAAATGAACTTTAAAAAAATATATAATTAGACAACAACAGTTCTTGGTTATGATTAAAAGATTGTAATTGTTAAATGTTTGGTACAAAAATAAATATTCAAGATCTTATGTGACCGGCGTTATGAAGGAAAAGCACAGCCAAATAATTCGCTGGTTTAGGTGAATCACTCGTGTGTGTGTACGTGTGTGTGCGTGTGTGTGTGCGTGTGTGCGTGTGTGTGTGTGTGTCTGCCGTACTTACGGGGGCCCAGCAGGTATCCAGCGCTGTTCAGCGTCCAGCCGCGTTTCTCCTTCGCCTGCAGGGTCACCAGACACACCGTGATCATTTATGCAACATGAAACATGTTCCTATCCAATTCCCATATTTATATTAACTACACTCACTCACAATAATCGCAGTTTGAAGCTGCTTTTATTGCATTTAAGCTTTGCATTGTTCTTTTCTCCATAAATGAAACAAATATGTCATTTAAATTCTCTAAAACCCAAATGTCTCCAAGATACATTAATGAAATAACATTTTTATTTAAGGTGTAAGGTGGGTACATTACTCTGTATTTGTACCCACATATATATATAGGTTGTCTTCATTGTGCATTTAAAGTTCTTGTTTAAATTAGAAGAAAACAGATATTTAATTCACATTGTGTAAATGCGTTGAAGCTCTATGACGTGCTGTGTGTCGCCGGTGTCCGTCCAGCGTCACTCACCGCGATGACCAAGCCGACGGTCTCCGAGAGGAAGACGAGCGACACGCAAAACACTGCAAAGTACCTCCGCATCTGGTGAGAGACACGAGTAGTACTTCGTCAACACCCGCGTCGGCCACATACTCGCATACTTCTACATTCTGGGAAACTTTCACCGCTGGTCGGGAACTTTAGTCCGGAGATGAAAGAGCCGCTTACCTTTGATGTGACTTTCCCGCTCGTTGCGCTTTGATGTCTGCGGCACAAGTTGCTGGTGCGCTTTGATGTCTGCGGCAGATGTTGCTCGTTGCGCTTTGATGTCTGCGGCACAAGTTGCTCGTTGCGCTTTGATGTCTGCGGCAGATGTTGCTCGTTGCGCTTTGATGTCTGCGGCACAAGTTGCTGGTGCGCTTTGATGTCTGCGGCACAAGTTGCTGGTGCGCTTTGATGTCTGCGGCAGATGTTGCTCGTTGCGCTTTGATGTCTGCGGCAGATGTTGCTCGTTGCGCTTTGATGTCTGCGGCACAAGTTGCTGGTGCGCTTTGATGTCTGCGGCACAAGTTGAACCGGGGAGACTGCGCGCGCCTTTTTATCCTCTCCGGCCCGACCGCACTGCGCGTCACCAGACCCCCCCCCCTCAAACTCCCCCTCAACCCCCCCCCCCAGCCCACCGGATGGGTCACGAACACCGCGCACAATGAAATTCAATAATATCACGTAATGCCATCATCTGATGTCTTTCTATGGCGCCCTCGGAGACTTGGGATTGGATTCTTTTAAACAGAGGGGGGTTGGGGGGAGAGAGGGGAGAGAGGGGGGAGAGAGGGGAGAGAGGGTGGGAGAGGGGGGTAATTCTGTGCAATTCTTCTGTCCTGAGCTGATACGTGACTTCTTTTAAAGAAGGGAACGGTTAATAAAATGTTGTCCTTTAACGTGTTAGAAATGTTAAGGCTCGTCAAAGATTTTACTGCTCTTGATTCTTCGGTTGCCTTTTGTTCCGTAATAATAATATTTTGAACCTTTTTCTTTATATTTTGCAGCGCCGTTGGAGGAGAAGGAGCGTTGAAGGAGCCCAGTTGAGGGTCACGTTTGCATAGTGTGTGCAGACAGTCCAAGCTGAAGACAGAGGACTCTGCGTGGGGACTCGGCGGGGAGCAGATCCCTCTGGTTGCAAACAGAAGCCCGACTGAGCAAACGAGCCCATCTCTCTACTCAAGGAGTACGAGTGTCGGCTATAGTCCGAACACTTGACGGGGCATCTGGACCGGGATCTGGTCAAGTGCAGAGGGTTTGGCATCCAGTGGACGAGCCGTGGACAGCACCAGTAAAGAAGAAGTCCTGACTCTTCTGCCCCTGAAGACAGCGACGAGGGTTCTATATTCTTCATGGTTAAAAGGGTACCATTAGAAAAGCTGTTGGTGACAAAGATGTCAATCACGTTTGTTGATAATGCTACCGATTTGATCAATAGTACTAATGTATGTATAATGTAAAACATTGAATGTTGAAACTGATTAACAGAAATAAAAATGTTGCAACTTTGTTATTCAGGACGTGTTGTATCAAACAGGCAGCTCTACTACTCGATATTGTTAAAGTAGCTCAGAGTTTCAGAAATGCGGGTGAACCCAGACTTAAAGAATCTCTCTTTTAATTTTTCCAGTAAGTAAAAAAAGTGTCTTTTGTTGGTCAGAATTGGCATCCAGATTGTCACGGTATGGAAATAACTGATGCACCTCGCCTACCAAGCTTGCCGTGAGCTGCTGTCGCTACGTTGCCCTGCAGGGCTTCACTGCACTTCTTGCAGTTGGAGATGCAGCATCGGTTTTCACTGTGGATTAAACATGTTATAGGAACCGTGTCCTTTCAGTGAACCCCATCCGACGGACAGACAGAGGGGTGGACAACAACGCAGACCACAGACACATTCAGCAACACGCCGTGTTGCAGTTGTTCTGTGCAAAATGAGAACGATTTCCATCTTCATTTGAAAAATAGTTAATCCAGAGATTTTCTCCGAAGATCCCAAGATCTGTTCAACTCACTGTACATTAAATTATTAATTTGGATTTAAACCCTTAAGGAAAAAATGCTTAATTTTTAATAACACAGCCCTTGTTATTGCTGTTTAATTACATTATCTGGTGCATTTTTAATTTGGTACAATTCAATACAGCCTTTCTATCCCTTTTAATGAGACTGGAGAGCAGCGTGATTACTGTGTGGAACACGTTACACACTGAGATTAAACAATGCTTCATCTTAGCGAGGCTCCAGTTCAACATGCACGCACAACCATGAGGATGAATACGCACAACCATGAGGATGAATACGCACAACCATGAGGATGAACACGCACAACCATGAGGATGAACACGCACAACCATGAGGATGAATACGCACAACCATGAGGATGAACACGCACAACCATGAGGATGCTCGAGGGGACTTTTTGCTCGTTCGAGATTGATTTGCTCTCCCGGATTGTTGACGTTCATTTGCCTTCATATCCATCCAGGGACGGCAAAATCCTGGTAACAACAGGGAAATAAATACTAAAAAGCCATTGTTGTAATGGATAAATCTCAAGTGCTGACTTCTCGTTAATGATGTTTCCTGTTGTTCCGAGAAAAATCAACAGTTATTTACTCCTTGGTTGAAGGTATGTGTAGGATTTAGCGGGACTTCTTATCAACGTAAGGAGTTTGCCATGTTGCACCGTCATGTTTCTACTACACGGGCTCTGGAGAGACTCTCTCACTTGTTCACGTTACCGGGAGGCCACCGTGAGGAAAACAGTGTCCCAGGAGTTACTGTCAGAACGGCCCACTCAACGCGTCGCACCTTCTTGGAAAAATACCCGATTACAACCAAATGACATCATGTTTTTATCAAAACATCTGGATTCACCAATTTGCCTCAATGGACACACAAAAAGTACACTGGCTATTGTGATACTCCAAGGTGGGTTTGGTTCGCTAGATGAATATTCCTAATTCTGGGCTGGTATCAGATGGTTATATTAATAACTACGGAGCCTTGAGGAATGAATGTCAGCAGAACAAGAGCACACGATGAAGACACCAGAATCAGAGGGTACAACTAGTATCAAGTACTTTGTAGAAATGAACAGAACCCAACCATCAGGATGAATACGAACCCTTGGTCACCGGTAGTTTTTGTCGTGTGCGTCCTAATGACTGGCGGGCCAGTTAAATATGATATTTACTGATATCGGATACCCCAGGTTGTGCAAACGACAAGGCCTAAGGGAGAGGACGGACGAGGCCACTATTTGTGTCCAGTGAACTGTAACATTTTGGTGTGTAAAACATGTGGTGCTATTTTAAGTAAAAACCTTTTTTGTTTAACTAAATATTAAGAAACCTTGTTGTTTGTTTGAAAAGACTGTTCGCATGTCACAAAAAAAAGGTCAATCTAAAGACTGAGTAGAACCTAGTTGGAAGGTGAATGGTCTTGTATCTTGTAGGGATGCATCATGCAGGGTGGGTGGATTAAAGCTGCTGAGACACAACAGCCTTACAGCAACAGTAATATTGATTTGTTGCAATATCATCAAGTCGAAGGTCATTAGACTCCATTTAGAAGCCCACAGCAAAAAAAAAAATGTTAATGAAATTCATCCCAAATGTTTGTTAGGGGTAAACATACAAAACGTATTGGGTGCATTTTACATCGTCCCTGCGGTCGCCGAAATAAACGTGGTGATGGTTTAAAAGCTGCGTGGAAACAACAGCCGAGGTGGGATTTAATGTCTCTCTCTCTCTCACACACATCACGCACCGACCTTCGGCCTTTACCGCACCAGAATGTACCGTTACTGGCTGTAATGATGGCCACTGGCATCAGACATGATGGTCGGCATTACCATGGCGTCAGGTCACCTGATGGAGATGATGGCGGAGGAGCAGAGACACAGTGAGACGTGATGCATGGAGAAATGGGGGGAAAGGTTAAACATTTGAGCGCCACCACCGGCCTCCCTCACAAAGTCTGTCCTGGCCTTAAAATAGAATAAAAGCAGTGTAATTTAAGAATGTCTTTAAGAACTCCGACCTGCAGAAACGGTCAATCAAAGGCAGCGGCAAAGATTTAAAGGCGCTGAGGGACTCAGCCGACGGTTTCGACACATCCAGATGTTGACTCATCCGCGTCATTATTAAACAGCCGCAGCGACTGACGCAGTTTGGAGAGCGAGAAAGTTCACTTGAGGAGGTTGGATCGGACGATGGCTTCAAACAAACACAGACGCTGAGTCAGCAAACCAATGTTCTTAACTAGTGAAACCAGGACTACGTTGACTTATTTTGATCCTACGTTTGTTTTTATGTGGTTGGTTGGGAACAAGAAAACAAACGCAGACTTTTACCGAGGGAAAACACCGGCGTTTTTACTTACTTACACCCCTGTGAGATCATTGAACAATTCAATGCTGGAGCCGAGTTGACACACATACAAGACGTGCATCAGGGCTACAGGAGTCGTTCCTCGGCTCAAGTTTTATTCTCCGAGGTGACAAACATCTGTGCCCCCCCCCCCCCCCCCTCAGGGGAGGGCTGGATCAGCTCCCACTGGTCCACACATCAGAGAGAGACACCATCGTCATTCATGATTGAAGGAGAAACCTTGTTTACACCAAGGAAATACAACTCGAGTTCCTTGGGAAAATACCCAGAAACAGGTTCGCAAATGAATTCAACTTTTAAATTGACTTACAACAGCCAGTCGTGTAGTTATCCAATTCATAGGGAATTATAATATGTTCAATATGCGTCAACAAAAAACATCTTATCTGCATTTGATTATGAACATGCTTTAAAAAAGAAGAAACAAAAAAATCGTGACGGGCCCCGGTGGAGGTGCAGGTCCTCAGAGCTTGTGGAGCCGCAAAGAACAAATAACCTCATTTCCTTCATTTGCCAGATTTACAAATAGGCAAAAGTAATTAACAATGCATCATGGACATGATTACACAGTTTCACCATTATAATCATATTACTGTGTTATTGTTAAGCGAGTCCACGCGTGACAAAGGACCAAATTGCAGTTTCGGTTAAATGTATTATTATACGTACAAAGTAAACCCCCCCGATCAGAGCCGTTCTGTTGAGGCTGTGCAGGAATTGCAGTGAACTCTTCGTCATGTTCCTGAAAGGATCTTGAGGGAGCGAGTCCTCAGGCACCTGGTTACACAATGTCACGGCACACTGTGGCCATTGGCAGATCCCCTGACGAAGTGGTGAGAGTGTTCTAGGAAAGCTTCTCTCCATTACAGGCGGCCGCCTGAAGTCACGCTGTGTGCATCGGATCCGTCGACTTCAGAGGAAATCAGAAGTCGTTTTACCAGATAACGTATCTCCTCTTTTCAGTCTTGTTAAATCCAGGTCTGAATAACGCAAACATTGTTTCCACATTCATGAAATACAGTACTGGAATTTTTTTAAAGTACATTTCAGTCTTGGCCATTGGGTGAATGAGCTGTGGCTACGTGGGTTTGTCTGTCGGACATTTCTAGTGCAAATGGTCGAGAGTTACTGTT